ATTCAATTATTTACCTTTGATTATTTTTTTTTCAAATAAATAGTTGTACTGACGTTGTTTCAATGATTTCAGATTTTTGAAAAAATTTCATCTAAGGCTCTAAACCCGAGCTCCAAACCCGTTTTAAGTGGGGGTGAAAGCGACGCATTCGTGTGAATTTATTCACCGTATGGGCCTAGCAAGTAACCTTCGGGATTCATATACCTTATGCCTTCGTGTGAATTTATTCTCCGTATGGGCATAAGAGAATGTTTCCTCCCGAGTTTAACTTAATCCACATAAGTTTGTAATGGGCTTAGGACTAAGGGTCTGATAAGCCCAAGGGGCACCAGCAATGAGAACTCGGGTACCTTTTTTTAGAACCTAAACCGGGACACTATAGAGAAATGGAGCCTACCCTAAAACCTCATTTCAAACCCTAGGATGCTTGAATTATTTCCTGCTTTACTTTCTGTTCAAAGCATGCGAACTAGACAAATATGAGGTTAAAATTTGTTTGAAATTAACATGCGGGATAAATATTATGTCCGGGTAGGAATAATTAGCATGTGGGGTAGGACTTTTGTTTTCATGACTGATTTAATTATTTTTACTTCACTAACTCTTTTCATTTTTGTTCTTTTTTATTTTATTTTCATCATTTGCTTTATTCAAAAGAGGTGTTGATCTACCAAAAACGTGTTTGTTAAACATAAATATATTGCATTAATGAACAAAAGGGTTGTAATACAAGAGATGAAAATGCAGAGGATAGTCTACAAGGCGACTATGTGTCACATTCAATCCAGAAGACGTGGTGCCCACAATTGAAGAGTATATCACTCTGATGCATTATAAAGGACTCAAAATGAACTAGGTCTACATCAAGCACAATGAAAGTCTATATTTGAAGAACTAATTGGCAGAGGTTGTAGGGTCAAGACGAAGGTTACTGATCTTAGGAGTCCCTTCAAAGACGACAATGACAAAACGATAACTGAAATTGGAGATCATTACTGACAAATTCAAGAAACAAACAAATGAACTTTACATAGTTCCTATCAATTGAGGGCTCCAATGACATATTCGTTGGGAACATATTCAACAAAAGATAAATGTCAGAGATGCAGTCATTTGAGACTTCTTGGGCCAGTACAAAAAGAAACTCAACATTTGCACGGTTCATCCAGAGAAGCCAGAGCGGTTCGACAGGTTATTCAACCGGTGACAGACGAAGGTAGAAGACTAGTAAACATGTCAGAAGCTGTCAGGATATTTTTGTCTCTTAAAAGATAAAACACTTTTGCCTCCAATAAGGATTATTTCTAATAACAGACACATTTTTTATCAATGCCTCGAACATTGTATGTATCATGCATTCCTGCATATTTCACATTATTTTTCTTTTTTATTACATTCACATGTCTCATAAAAAATAGGAACATTTTGATTCTATTCCCAGGACCTACAAAGAGCTTTACCAGTAACTTCTTGGCACCCATGTAGTGTCACCATACCTGGTGGAAACCATGAAGTCCCCATACCCCAAGTGGTATGACGAGAATGCTCATTGTGAATATCACGACGGTGTCCCAGGGCACACAATTGAGAATTGTTATACATTCAAGAGAGTCGTGCAGAAGATGCGTAACCAGAACTGGATCGACTTCAACAACTTGGGGGCATCCAAGTGAGGAAGATCATTTCATCATTTGAGGCATTCTATTAGAATTTGTTTTTTATTTTTTTCCTCAAGTTTTTGTAAGGACTTTTAAATAAATTTATGTTACTTTAAAGACGTTAAGCAATTAATCACATTTGCAAACTTGCAATTCTTTGAATATCATCTGAATTAAGAAACTCTGTAAATGGTTCAAAGTTACAGATCTTTGACGAAGTAACATGATTTAAAACAAGGAATTTGACTTTACCCAGAATATGCACTCAAACACCGTACCCTGCTCTTGCAATAGACCAATATAACATTTTCCTTTCATAAGGTGCGGACAACATGGGGCATCCTTTTGCATATGACATTAGTATACTTTTTATTTAAGACGTTCAATGATCATTATCTTTACAGATGGAATAGTCGAGTAGGTAAATCTAGTTTAGGTCAGTTGCTTGGAAATTGAACTCTAAAAATGAGATTCCTTGACTTTCAACACCTAGACTATAACAGGTTCTTCTTGACAAACTTAAGAAATTAAATCCGTAAAGCTGAGCTATTCCACTAAGGCAATTGGTTATAGAGGAAACTTGAAAGCCCTGGCCTTATGAGTAAATTACGTTTAAACCGTGACATTGCTCGAACACTTGGTAATTCGGTGTTTGCTCCACTGTTATTGTCCGGCCGAAGACTTTGTCATGAGATGAACCCTTCAGTTAACTTGATTATAAAGTTAAGTTGTCCCTCTAAAGCAATTTGTTAAACGCCCCAGCTTTATGGATTCAGCTAGCCAGATAATGACAAATTAAATCAAATTTATCTAAGCAAGAAATTTTCGGTAATGATGGACTAAGGGAGTTAAAGAACACCTGTTATAGTCAAATTCACACAAGCACTCAGGAATTTCATTTTTAGACCGATATTTCTACACTACCTTTGTTAGAGGAGCTTACGAGGCTTGAACAAATGGAAGATTTCAGAGGACTGAAATAAAAGGTCTAGTAATTGATCATGCTAGTTGCGTCATTTTGTCTGCACTCAATTAAAATGTCAAACCAAAAAAAAGCACGTTGCAATAACAAAAAAAAAAGACTTTTTTATGGCTGAAACCTTAGGTCAACCTAAAGCCAACTCACTCATTTGATTATTTGTCAAAGAGATATAACTCTAAAAGCATTAAAAGAGATATTGATTCCTTTTGTATACTTTGAACTCATGTTTACAATTTGATTCAACTGCGAACAATATTTTACAGAATTTTCATCCTTTTCCCTCCTAAAACAAGAAAAAAGGATAATTTTTTTTCAAACAAAATAGTCTTAGACATGAAAGGTCTATAAAGCCAAAGCTCGAGAAGCAAATGGGGCATGATCGATTCCAAGGACCAGATTGGCAGACAAAACACGGGTTTCCAATCCAAGAGCTAAAACATAACTCATTCATGTTGCATGTATCTTAGACATACTTAAGAGCATCACATTTATTATTTTTAGCACTCATAATTTTTTTTACAGCTTTTAGAGTCAAATTTCAACTTCAAGATGAAAGATGCTCGATTTAAAAGTGCATTCAGAAAATTGATGGTGGTTGCTCAACTTCACAGTGAAGGGGCGACTGTCAATAAACAACTTTTCAGGTTCATTCAGAGTCAATTTCAACTTCACAGAGAAGGATATTAGACTCGAAACAACACAAGCTCAAATTCACAGCGAAGGGGCGACTGACTGTCAACAAACAACTTTTCAGTTTCATTCAGAGCCAATTTCAACTTCACAGCGAAGGATATTGGACTCGAGACAACACAAGCTCAACTTCACAACGAATGGGTGACTGAATGGAAACAAACAACTTTTCAGTTTCATTAAGAGTCAATTTCAACTTCACAACGAATGATATTGGACTCAAGACAACACAAGCTCGACTTCACAGCGAAGGGGCGGCTGACTGTCAAAAAACAACTTTTCAGGTTCATTCAGAGTCAATTTCAACTTCACAGCGAAGGATATTAGACTCGAGACAACACAAGCCCAATTCCGACAACAACAATTAAAGACAACCGACAAATTAATTGGTATCGAAAGGGCAGTTCAAGGGTGCTAATCGTTCCTTGACTGTAACTGACTCCCGAACCCGACACATTTATGGTAAAACGCAGACCAGGTAAAATGGTGTCTGACCTACCTAAATGTTTTTTAAAATGGTCGGTGGCGACTCCTAACTCACTCATTTCAAGTCGAAGCCCAATTTCAGGCCCACCCGAAAGACGGCCGCGGCAACAGCAAAAAGAACAAAAAAAAACAAAGATGAACAATAAACTAATCAAAGAACGTTCAAATTTAGAGAAAGATGGAGCAGTAACAAACCTGGAAATTGGGGTTTAGAGAAAGACGGGCGAGTGAGGAAGCAAGAGCAATGGATTATCGATGACATTGCTTCGGATAAAAGACTTTCGGATTCACTAAAGAATTTAGCCTACTTCTTTTGCTATAAGGTGTTCAGCAAGACATATATGCCCTTGGGATTTTACAAACATTACACCTATACCCTCAAATATTTTTATCATACAATTTTATTTTAATTTTTTTAATAATATTAAGTGATTATAAGATAGTATAAATAATGTTGTCTAATTATATATTTTACATTATTTTCTTAAATGAGGTGTTTTCTATAGTACCACTAAAAAAGTTTAAATTAATAGACGTCTTCATAAAGATGAGACGACACGATATCTTATTTTTTGTCGAAATATTACGATTGATCTCTGTCCACTGCAATTATATATGATTGAAACATTTGACTTTCTTTTTTTTCATGTAAACTATTGTCATGACTTACCAAAACACTAGTTATCGGAGATGAAAAAGTTGAAGACATTGAATTCTTGGATTGTCTTCTTGAAGATGTTGGGTGCTATGATCGACTTTCTTTCTTCAATACTCATTTCATCCTATTTAAAAAATTAATTTTTCACTGTCTTATATTAGTAATTTATTTTCATCTCTTCATCTTAATATTTTTGTCAAGTAATATATCCGTTAATTTTTTTAATCATTGATAACATGTACATCTACATACGTAATTATTTGAATCATGATGCAGAAAGTGATCCTATTTTTCATTAATGAAGTTGCTTAATAAGTTCTATTTAAAAATAGATTTTATGTCAAATAAAGTAACATTTAATTTTTAATTTTGATAATTTGAGATTATGATATAAGTTCAGGGAGCAAAACTATTATTTAGCCAAATAATAATAATAATTTATTGTATCTAACAGACTATGACTCTTCGCTTACATTTAGAATCTTACTTTAAAAATATGAGTTAAGACACAATAGCTTTTCAGTTACCTGTCCAATATATTCCCCCGCCAATATTCTCCCAACTCTCCTCCCCCTTCGATTCGCCGGCGAATATGTATCGCGGCCGCGAGCGGACATCTCGCGGTGGCCGGCCCTCATCTCGCGGTGATTATTCCAATCATAGTCACAGCCCTGTAAGTTCTTCTCTAACTTTACTAATTACTCATTTTTTACGCTTTTTTTAAAATTAAAATTAAAATTAATTACTTGAAAAGGTTTAGTTCTTAGTAAAATTGAAGGTGCATAGTTTGCTAAATTTGAAGAAATTTTATTTGCCGTTATTCAATGTCATTTATGTATTTACCATTAATTATAAAATGTAGAGTTAATTTTAGTTTATTATAAGGTTTGCCGATGGGGGAACCGTTTTTTTTTCCCTTTCGAAATCATGAATTTTGATTTCTATGGATTGTCAAAATTTCTTAGCAGATTCTCTGGTGCTAATGTTTCGGGTCACGAGTAACTAAAAAGTTTTTTCTTGTTCTTTTCCGTGGTTTAAATAATTTTGATCACCATCTCCAGGCTGGGGATTCTGGTGGAAAGTCTAACTATACTCAGGATGATGGAATGTTGGAAAGCCGAGGGAGACAATTTCGTAACATGTCTCGAAGTTGTTCAAGTTACTCTAAGCATGGGCATGCTGCTGTTTATGAATATAGGCCGAAAACACCATTGCCTTTTGGTACTGGATTTCAAGGTCAAAATGATACTCCTAAAACCCGGGACACTCCAAATGAGGCCCTTAAGGACAATTATCAGTCATTGTCTTGTCATTCGGGTTCTATCGGCTCAATCCCCGTTGTAGATAAAGACCAGAATGAACTCTCATCAGTTGAGGATACTGAGAGCTGTGCAGCTATACTGCATCATGATCTATCCAACAAGGTTAACATCTCCGATTCGGTAGACAAGTCCGAGAAATCCGAACCATCGCAAGAAAGGAGTCCCCAAAATAGTTCAGTTATCAATGATTCGAGTCTGGCTAAGTGCCAAGATGTGATTGAGCCTTTTGACATTTGCTTGCCCAAAATCGGAACTCCAGTCATGCTCAAACCATCTTTGCTTGTAAAGAATAGAGAAAAGCGGAATGAAATGAAAAGATCAACCGAAGGCCAAATAGGAAACATATTGAGACCCGGAATGGTGCTTCTAAAGAAATATCTGCCTATAACTGATCAGGTAAGGCTTGCTAAATGTTGTATCTCAATCTTCTAGCTATATGTGCTTCTAGAGAATTCTCTCGATAATTGCTATATCTCCAGTTTACCCATGAGCTACTTGTGTTTCCTTCTTGTTGATATGTCTATGCAACTTGAATTTGAGTATCTTATTTCTATGTTACTCAGACTCAGGTCCAAGTTTCTGATGTGAGTATGTGTCCGTCAAAATTTTCCATGTTTTCTATGTATTTGGAGGATCGATGGAGGTTTCATGTCCCTATATTCATGTGCCAGACACAGATACTTCAAGAAAAATGAAGAGTTGAAACGACAGTCTTATTCTAGTGGTGTTTGTGGTTATAATAACCATGGTGGGACTTGCAGCAACCTTGAGTGTTCAATGGCTCAACATCCATTGGTTTGAGGTGTTTTGACCTATACACACTTCATTATTCTTGAAATACCAATACTTAGCATTGGTGTCCAATACGTATATGAACATGGTTGTGAGAATATGACCATTGAAGGAACCTCCGTTACATGGAAAATATTCCTTTTTCAAGCACATACCTGTATTAATATAGGTTTTGACCATGTTATCGGTGTTTTTACATGTTTTAAAATGAATTCTTACAATGTTAGAAAAGGGTGAATGCGATTGGGACTGTGATCTGTGTTAATTTACTTTGTATCCTTGTATGTTTCTAGGTCAAAATTGTAAGAGCTTGTCGAGCTCTTGGTTTAGGTTCTGGAGGTTTCTATCAACCAGGCTACCGTGATGGTGCGAAGTTGCATTTGAGAATGATGTGCCTTGGCAAAAACTGGGATCCAGAGACAGGTATCTATGGAGATCTTCGGCCAATCGACAGTTCTGTTCCCCCTGCTATTCCTCGCGAATTCTATCAGTTGGTTGAGAAGGCAATAAAAGATTCGCATTCCCTTATTCAACAAAAGACTAAGGCTAGCCATGCAGAAGACAGTCTCCCATGGATGTCACCAAATATCTGCATTGTTAATTTCTACTCGGAAAGTGGTCGATTGGGGCTTCATCAGGTCTGAACTTTTAACCCCTTTTTTCATCCTTTTACGCATGCCATCGTCAAAAGTCCTTATCAGTACCCAACTATTTCCGCTTTAATTGAAATAATCCTTTCTTCCCGCCCTTTCCTCTAGGATTTCATAAATTTATTTTTACAACTGAAAGACTCAGCTCGTGTTGTTTGCAGGATAAGGATGAAAGCCCGAGAAGTCTACGTAAAGGATTACCCGTGGTTTCCTTTTCCATTGGAGATGCAGCAGAATTTTTATATGGTGACGAAAAGGAAGTCGAAAAAGCAGACAAGATTGAACTCGAATCTGGCGATGTGCTTGTATTTGGTGGTAAATCTAGACACATCTTTCATGGCGTGACTGCAATTAAGCAAAAAACTGCACCTGGAAATCTCTTGGAGGAAACAAATCTCCGTCCAGGTCGTCTAAATCTGACTTTTAGAGAGGACTAAAATCCTAGATGCAAGCTTTTGTTTGACCAACTTTTAATAAACAAAGAAGACAAGCTTTAATGTTAACTTTTTGTATGAATTTGTGCTTAACAGAAAAAGGAACATGCTTGTTGAATAGAATTTCATGCTTCGTATGTTCGACCGTTCACCGAATTCCGTACCCTTCATATTTAGCTCTAGAAGTTGACTTCTTTCTAATCTCCTAATCATGTACTGTTGATGATTTGCCAAGTCTTGCCATAGGTTCTTCATTTGCAATGCAACCACAGTATGTTTCTGGTGAGAGAGGGTATATAGACCTGCAATGCTCACCACACACATGCAACGTAGTTGTGTTTATATCTGACCGGACAGGGACTAGTTACAAGCCCAACTTTTCTGACCAGGCAGGGATTAGTCACAAGCCTCACGTTTCCGACCACCAACCGATTTGATCCGACAATATCCAACAACATCCACGATGAATTCAAGAGAAATTTCTTTGGATACAATCTAATAGAGCATCTAGTCACTAACACATAGTACACATTATCTTCTTCAAGTTCAATTGTGATAAATCAAGTACAACAAAGAAAAGCATGATAACTACACTTGAAAAAACAAACCCTACAAATTCCAATACAAATCTAGCGTCTTTACTCATTACACACAAATAAACACATAAAATCTAACCCACTAATCAAATTCCAATCCTACTGAACTCAATTACTACAATCACTATTGTTATTGTTGTCATTACTGTTATTAACTTTGCTATGATGATTACCGGAGTTGCTGATTACGGCACCCTTTTTTCCTTGCTTCAACTGCGAAATCTCCAGCTGAGTCTTCATGAAAACTGCATCCTCTGCAATTCCATCTCCTTAGCGAATTTCATCCTCTGCTTCTCCATCTCCACCACTTGTTGAAGCTTTGCTGTCTCCGCTTGCTCGTACGTTTCGCCGAACCGTAATATCGCCTCAGTCAATTCTTTAACCGAGTTCCCCCATTTTTTTCTTTTTTCACCTGAATTGGCACCCTTATGGACCACCCTCCTTGCCTTCTTTCCCTTCTTTCCTGTTGAAGGCGGTGGTAAACTATCGAAAGAATCCACATCATCATCATCCCTGTCATCCTCAGAGTCCATATCCACCGGACCCTGTTTCCTCTGATTCTTCAATACAACCATTCTCGGTTGCTTTTGTTGTTGGTGTAGTTGTTGTCGTCTTTCTTGGACTTGAGAAACTCGATATGGATTCAAACTGGATCGGATTCCGACTGGAATCCCCATCGGTACTTTAGACAAAAAGTCAGCACTTCCACTGCTACCACCGGCAGAGGCGGGGGAAGCTGAATTAGTAGGAATCCTCGCCGAGGATCCTATAAGTTGATCCAATTTCTCATAAAACACCCAGTTACTGGGCCCACCTCCGGCGGCAACCTTAGCTTTCTCCAATTTATACTTCTTCTTCACCGTATCGATTCGATTCTTACACTGAATATCCGTCTTCGGAGTTTTCGCATAACCCTCTCTGCTGCTCACAATATCCGCCACTTCTTTCCAATGCTTCTGCTTCAAGTTCCCACGGCTCAGCTCCAAATACCTCTCTCCCCACGCATCAATTAAAACCCCCGTAGCGCTTTCGCTCCAGCAGTCTTCCCTTCCACCGCCGTTACTCTTCGACTTCTGCGGCGGCGGAAGCGCCAGCACTATCGCCTTTTCGTGCAGATCCTGCTCTTCTGGAGGTGGCGAGTTCGGAGGAGGCGTGGCGGCTACCGCCATGGTTACACGACTATTAGACGGCGGTGACGGCGACGCCGGCGATGCAGATTCGGTAGTGGCCGCCTCTGGGTACGATTGGATCTCTTCGTCTTCTTCCATCGGAGATCCAAAAGATTTGATGATTACAAAAAATGGTGGAAAATTAGGGCTTCGACGAGAAACGGAGAATGGGATTTATTTTCGGTTTATTTTGTTTTTTTTTTTATTATCGGTGGGTGGTACGGAAAGCGAAGTGACGGCGTCGGTGAAGGAGGCATTGATTGGGGGACACGTGGAGAAAGGAGGGTTACGTGTAAGGATTTGATTGGTTGGAACGTGGATATTCAGTCACCGGCGTTAATTTTGGCAATATCAGTTCTATTTTGAGCGTTCATTTTCCGGTGGTGTACCGAAATTACCCTTTCTTTGCCAAAATTATAGGGGATTTTTGGTTTAAAGATTGTGGCATGTTTGGTTGGTCGAGAATCTCATTTTCGATAATATTTTATTATTAATATTAGATTTTTGTGATATATTATCGAGAATGTCATTACCTCTATTCCCTTAGGTATTGTAATATTACCGGCGTTTTGGATTAAAATGTCTTTAAATTTTTATTTTTTTTCAAAAATATATTTTTTCTGTTATTGAATAATAAAAATTTTATGAATGTTAAATTATAAATTTATCCTTAAATTATTTTAGATTTATAAAAAAAATCTATAATTAAAATTTTATATGAAGTTCATGAGTTAAAACTTTTTTTATCCTTTCATTAAACTTTTTTTATATTTTTAATTTTGTAAAAAAAATTATATAAATATTATGAATTTAATTTTTGAAAGAAAATATATAAATATTTTACAATTTGTAATATTATACAAATATATAATAATGATAATTTGGTCAAATATATATTCCAATAATCTTTTATTTTTTTAATCAAACACGGTAATCTTACATTTTTGCTAAACCAACCAAACACAAAATACAACATTTCCAATAATCTTATTCTCTGATAATCTTTTATTCTCACCGATAATCTTACACTCCGTGAACCAAATGCACTCTAAAACTTTTGTGGGTCAACGTAAACACTCAAGTCTAAAGGTATCTTCTTTGTTTTATATGTAGAAAAAACGAAACTATGATCGAGTCGGTGGATCCTCCCAGGGCCTTTTTACCTGAATAACATTTTTAAAACAACAAATAATTTTTATATTGATTTTTTATAAAGATACATATGATATAATACGTTTTTACAATATAATTTTAACAGCAAGTTTCTTTTTTGTTAGTGTCGTAGAAATCGATAAAAAAAAATTGAAGGTTGGATTAAAGTGAATAAAAAAGATAAATATATATGGTGTGTCAAAGATATACATTTGCACGAATTTAAACAAGACATGTTCATTTGGAGCTATCAAAGACTGTTCTTAACTTGATCAAACCTAGATCTTGAACGTTGCCAATCGTTGTCTTCTGAAATACTCGATATCCAATTATCAAAAATTATTTTTGACTGTTGTATTGGCATATATTTGATCAAGTTTAGAATGTCTTTAACAACTCAAAATTAATATGTTTTGCCATGAACTTCTTTAAAATATTATTTTATATATAGAATTTTTAAAATATTTAAATATAACCCTTTAAGCATACACTAATTGAGCGATTGGAGATACCACAACTAAAAAATTATTTAGTGAAACTCTTTTTATAAGCATGGAGAATAATTTAAGAAACTCTAGAATGCATGAATGCATTGGACAGAGCTTTCTTCACCCTAGAGGTTAAATTCATTCAAAACTCAAGCTTACGACTTATCTTATTCTATGGAGAATAAATTAACTCGAGAATGTACGAATGAATTGTTTTTATTTACATAGATTTCGATTCGAGCACCAAAAATGTTAAGAATGTAAGCATTTAATGTGAAATGGTTAAATGTATCTTTAAACAAATATTACTAGGCTCCTAATGTTTAAATGTGAAATGGTTAAATGCATTTGTACTTTTTCTATGTTAATAAAATCTAATGTTAAATGCTAGATAATAAAGATTAGATGTCTTACCTCCTAAGCCCTTGAATCTTTTTAACCTTCACCGATTTTGCTTCTATAAATTTTTTTGGGTTTAAGAAGAGAGAAAGAGGAAGATGAAATAATATTAGTAGGGGAGTGGATAAAACTAGATTTTACCTATAATCTCACGTCACGTTAGAGAGAAATAAGGGATGAATCAGCCATAAAATTCTGTAATGGGATAATGACCTTCTAGACCCTCTACATTGCTTACATATAAAAGACCCTTTTTCTAGGCTCAAATGGACTCAAATATCTTCCATTGAGATCCAACTTGCCTCAAGAGTTCAATTATGCACCAAAAGCTGACCCATATTCATCTTGGGTCAACTTTAATACGTTTATTAAAAAAATCAAACTATTATAAAAACTATTAAAATGATGTTAGTTTATATATATATATATATATATATATATATTACATTCAACTGTATATAATTTATTTATGTATTTAATATGATAACGTTTTAAAAAAAAATTGCACATATGTATGTCTTCACCCTAATAAACAAACATGTCAACAAGTTAGATAAATTTCAGTGTTCTTTTTCTTTTTATTTTAAAATTGGATACATTATTAGTATTGTAATTTAATCATAGAAACATATAGATATCAATGTTATTATAAAATTAATTGTTTTGATATTTTAATATATTTTAAAATAATAAAATGATGTTTAAGTAAACATATTTTAGTGCTTAGATTAAAACTTTGATTCTTTGCCAGTGATGTGAATGTGATTTACCCATCATTTTCATTGAAATTTCTACATTATTTATTAAAACAATCTAAAATTCGGCAACGAATAGAAGTTTAGTTGTTCAACGCATCCGTAGTGTAGTGATAAGATGATTTATAGTTCACAAGTTTAATTTTTTTAGATATTCCCATTGATTTTAATCTTTTATTTAATTCATAATTAATTTTAATTATTTTATGATATAAATATATTACTCTATATTTTAAAAATAGTGAAATAACTTAAAAATATTATATATATAAATTATTTTTTATTTTCTTGATTTTTTTTAAATATTTATGAAAAATACTTTAAAATTTATCAAATGATGTTTAAAAGTCATAAAATAAAGTTATTTTTCAAAATAAAATAAAATAACCTAAAAATTTAAAGTTCATAAGATAAAAAAAGAGATTAACTGAAATGAAAATAATAAAATATTTTAAAATTAAAATTAATTTTTTTATTAATATAGGGTAAATATAAGTTCAAAAATAACAACAAT